TTATTTAGTATCTTATATATATATCTATAGATAATATAGTAAGAATATAATATTACCTTAAAACTAAACTTCTTAATAGTAGCAATAAGAATTAGTAAGTTTATAGTAGAAATTAAAATCTTAAATTCTTTTATAGAAATAGCTAAAATTAATTTACTTACTATAAACTTAAAAAGATTACAGGATTTTAAGGGATACTTTAAGATTTAACTAAATATTCTATTAATATATCAGAATAATTAAAAAAGCAAATTAGAAATATACTAATATATATATAAGAAACAGTCTTAAATATAGCTATAAAATATAATTAATAGAAGGGGAGATATTATATTACAGCCTAGGTTAAGATTAGGTAGTTATAATTAGCAGAACTATAATATACCTACTTTTTTATCTAATATAAATTTCAAACTTATTCTATATAAATAAGCCTGAATATATAACTTACTTCTCTAAGATAAGCTATAAGATTAAACTTACTTTTACCTAGTAAGCCTATATAAATATTACTAGTATATAGATACTCTTTTTAGTACTTTTATAGATAGATAGCCTTACTAGCTATTAATATATTTAATTACCTTATATCTACTATTCTATTATTACTAGACTGTAACTTATATTACTTATTATAATATTTTAATCTACTTAATTATATATTATATACCTTAGACTTACTCTATACTTTTAAGTTAAATCTAACTATTATATTTAAAGCCTAGAAGAAAGACTTTCTATAGCTAAATAAAGCTAATTTTATTATTAATCTAGTTCTTTTTAAATAATATAAATTTCTAATTAATTAGAAAGTCTAATTCCTCTAGAAATTATTAATATTAAATATATTTATCTTTAAAGATAATTAATAGATTAAGATACCTTTTTATTGTAGAAATAGCCTTAAGAATAGTTATTTAATTAAGGTTATATAGCTATTTCTTAATTATTAATTAGAGCTCTAATTAACTAACTATAAGCCTATTAATTCTAAGCTCTTAAAAGACTCTAGTTTTATTAAAATTCTAATAATTATATAGAGGAATTAATTTAACCCCTAGTTAGTCTAATAAGTTATAGAACCTATAAATAGCAGCTAGATTTACTCTATTTATCCTTTTCTAGTTAATTTCCTTTTCTTTAAGTATTTTTATTTGCTAGTTATAGTATAGAAAGCTAGTTATCCAGTACTTTTTAAGTTATCAGTTAATGCTACTTTCGCCTAATAAGGAAGTTACTAACTTCCAGATCTGGCTATAAGTTAATACCATTCCAAGCTTATCTTATAAGATAAGCTAATTACAGAGCTAATCTTCCTAGTTCTTAGAAAGTAACTGACGCTATTCGTAGGCTTTATTGCAGCTTGGGACGCTATTGAGCTTGGTCCGTAGGGTTGAATAAGAAATAATACGCTTATTGGCTGCTTTTTGTATTAATAGACTATTTTTCATATCCTGAATAGCTAGTTAGAGGTCTTCTTTGGTATATTTAGGTATAAAAATAACGAAAATAAGGTTAAATTGACCAATTAAGTGTTATTGAAGGAAGAAACGCGTGTGGCTAGAGGCGCGTTGTGGTTGACGCGTTGTAAGTGGGGCGGTTAGGTAAGGGGTCGGTCAGCTAATGGGGCCCAATAGGTGTACGGGGCCCCGTACATTTAAAATTGTACGGGGCCCCGTATGCATTATGTAAGCGTTGACGGCCACCACCAAATGCGCCGCGCGCCTCCTTTTTGGGATGCCCCTCCAGCCTTCTTGCTACTCGGATAGCTATCCTTTATCTGGCTAAAATGCAGCCAATTGAAGAGGCCAATCGATTTCCAGATGACTGCCTCCCTCCTGAAGGCGACTATGACTCTCGAGATGCCTTATTCAAGGCGATCAACGCCTGGGCAGCTCCACGAGGCTATGCCTTTAGGACTGGAAGGTCAAAGAAAGAGAGGACTGGAAAGCTTACACTCACATTTACTTGTGATCGTGCCTGCCGCCCTCCGAGTGCCTCCAAGGAACGGCAACGGCATACAACTACACGAGGCACTGGCTGCCAATTCTCTGTTCTAGCAAAGCAAAGCAGTGACCTAGCCACATGGGCTTTGAGGCATCGTCCAGATAGCCGATTCGCTATCCATAACCATGAGCCAAGCTGGCATCAGTCTGCTCATCCGGTACATCGCATACTATCCAATGCAGATACATCAACAATCAGAAGTCTCACGAATGCGGGGATAGCGCCAAAGGACATCAGGACTTATATCCGTCAGAACTCGAACACTATTGCAACCCAGCAAGATATCTACAATCGTATTGCAGAGAGCAAGCAAGAGCTCTGCGAGGGGCAGAGTACAATACACACCCTTGCCAACCAACTAGATAAGGAAGGGTTCTGGAACCGGATGCAGCTTGATTCAGATGACCGGGTCACTGCAGTATTATTCGCCCATCCAGAGTCATTGGCATACCTCAAGGCTTATCCAGACCTGCTCTTCTTAGATTGCACATACAAGACGAACAAATATGGGATGCCGCTCCTCGATATTATCGGTGTTGATGCCTGCCAGCGATCATTCTGTATTGCGTTTGCATTCCTCAGCGGCGAGAACGAAGAGGACTATGTCTGGGCCTTAGACCGGCTTCGATCAATATACGAGCTCTGCGGCGCGAGGCTCCCGTCTGTTATCCTCACAGATCGCTGCCTCGCTTGTATGAATGCTGTGGCTTGCTGCTTTCCAGCTGCAATCTCGCTTTTATGCCTCTGGCATGCTAATAAGGCAGTCCTCCAGTACTGCCAGCCAAGCTTTATACGCCATGCCCAAGGACCCGAGGCTCGTCGAGATAGTCTCAACGATTGGAGTGAGTTCTACAATTGCTGGCATTCAATCATGGGATCAATCGACGAGGATACCTTCGACAAGCACCTTTAAGAGCTTGAAAGGCGCTACGTACCAGAACATGTTAAAGAGGTCAGCTATATTAAGGAAACTTGGCTTAATCTTTACAAGGAAAAGCTTATTAAGGCCTGGGTTGATCAGCACCCTCATTTTGGCAATGTAGTTACCTCACGGGTTGAGAATATCCATGCGCTGCTAAAGAGCCATTTAAAGAAATCGACATTAGATCTCTTCGAGGCTTGAAGGGTTATGAAGCAGGCACTGCTCAATCAACTAGCTGAGCTACGGTCAAACCAAGCCAAGCAGCAAATACGTTTGCCGATTGAGCTCTCTGGGGTACTATATAGTGCTGTACGTGGCTGGATATCTCATGAGGCTTTACGGAAGGTTGAAGAACAGCGGAAGCTTCTCTTAAAAGAAGACCTGCCTAGATGCACTGGCGCGTTCTCTCGCTCTTATGGTCTCCCGTGCGCTCACACACTCAAGGCCCTACAAGAACAAGACCAAACTCTTCGTCTAGAGCACTTCCATACACACTGGCATCTTAGCCGTAGTGGAAGCCCTAAATTGCTGCTTGAGCCTCGTCAACGTATTGATCGAATAACTACTAGCTCAATCAAGCCACAATCAAGCACTCGTCGGGAGCCTAGTGCATTCGAAGCAGTTGAGGCAGTAGCACGGCCAAGGGCACAGCCTAGATGCAGCAGATGCCACACACTAGGTCATACAATGACCTCATTGGCATGCCCTTTGCGGTACGCAGAGCTTTTACAACGGGCAACAACAGAGGCACCGGCAGCAACAGAGGCACCAGCGGCAGCAGAGGCAACGGCAGCAACAGAGGCACCAGCGGCAGCAGAGGCAACGGCAGCAACAGAGGCACCAGCGGCAGCAGAGGCAACGGCAGCAACAGAGGCACCAGCGGCAGCAGAGGCAACGGCAGCAACAGAGGCACCAGCGGCAGCAGAGGCAACGGCAGCAGCAGAGGCAATAGCAGAGGCAACGGCAACAGCAGAGGCAACGGCAACAGCAGAGCCAATGGCAGCAGCAGAGCCAATGGCATTACGGTATGATGATCCACGTGCTATCCATGAGAGATATACTGCAGCAAGAGAGATTTGGTATAGGGCGCAGCCTCGTGGCAGCGTCAGGACCAACCAGCAGTATCGGAAGGCGATGGGTCTGCCTTTACGATATAGCAAAGCCGACTACGACTGGTGCCTCAACTGGAAACAGATGAATAAGCGCTGTACGACACCAACAGGCTTAAGGGAATGGACCAAAGAGGAGATGATGGCCTATCTTGACTGGGATAAGTCCGAGAACGACCGCCTCGATGCCCAGATAGCTGAAGAGATAGTTGTGCAGCCCTTTTCAAGCAGGCGAGGGCCAGGCGAGATCTGGAGAGCTTGTGAGAGGGATATCGAGGAGCAACAGGCATTGTATTCAGCTATATAGCTATATCTCATTTGTAGTTGTGTTATTAAATTGGCATTTAAATATACCTGCAGTAACTTTAATTAGATATATCACTAAAAATAGGACCCAACGTGAAGACGTTTACGTTACAGAAACGTAATGCAGTCATCTAGAAATCCATTGGCCTCTTCAATTAGCTACATCTTGGCTAGAATTTGAGTAGCAAAGAAGCTGAAAAGGCATCCCAAAAAGAGGCGCTCGGCGCATTTGGTGGTGGCCGTCAACGCTTACATAATGCATACGGGGCCCCGTACAATTTTAAATGTACGGGGCCCCGTACACCTATTGGGCCCCGTCAGCTAATGGGTGGTCCGACTTATTATTAAGCACTTGATTAGGCGTAAAGTGTACTAGGATGCTAGAAATGTGTGAGAGAAAACTTGTTCTTTTTCAATGTGGAAGCGAGTGGCCCTTGATGGCGCGAAACGCGGTTCAGATAGTAAACTGTACGAGTATTGGATTCCAAAATTTGCCAGCAATGTGTGTGAAAACGTGCTTGTTGTCGATATGGAAGCACATCGGCCTTTATGGCGCGAAAACACAATTCAGATAGTGGTTTACAAATTACCCCCATGAAAACCTAAGGTCTCCGTTAAAGTAAGTGACGCAGCACTATGTTCTACTCTGCTAGGCACTAAGTGTACACTTTTGGGATCTCGATCTGGTTGTCAAAAAGGCGGTCAATCGCATCTGGTGCCCCCGCTTCCTTTGGATTTTCCAGCTTCCAAGTTCCCAATGTATTCGCTAGTTGGCTGTAGTAGTTTGCGAAGGCGAAGTACTGCCGAGGGTCAGTGGAAGCCCTCGCATTCTTGAGCGCTGCCTCGAGTTCCTGGACGCCCCCAAGCGACTGCAGCTTCAACTTTTCTCCACTGCGCTTCTCGTAGGCCTTTGCGATGTTCTTGGCGCTCGCCTCGGCGGAACGGACGTTGAAAAATCCACCCTCCCCTGCCAGGACTGATCTGTTGGTCGTGACGAGGTCGATGCTGAACCGAGCTGCGTCCTCGAAATATGTGAAGTCCCATTTGGCGTTTCCGTCCCCCCAGTATTTCAGGACCTTTCCGTCAGCATCGTCTTCGAAGTAAGCGATCCCCAAGAGGTCACTCAAGGCAAATTCGCCGACAAGTCCAGTAAAGACATACACCGGCCTGACGGGCGACGTCAGCTCAGTATGCCTACGGAACGCAATGTAGGCATCATAATGTTCGAAGTCGCCATGACGAATCTTTGTCCAGTCCGCATTCCAGGAGTGAGCGTGGTAGACCTTGATTCCGGCTCGCTCCACGGCGCGCAGGAGGCTAATCTGAGCCTCGAGGACGGCGTCGGCGTGAGAGGTATAGCAGCAGATAACGGCATCTGCTCCGGTCACCGCTCTGTCCAACGCCGCCCTGTCATCATACGACTCGCACTGAACAAAGGATTCCAGCTTCCCCAAAAGCTCGACCGGCAGCTTGTTTGGCGAACGGCCGAAGCCCCGAACCTGATGTCCCTTCTCGAGACCGACTTGGGCGAGGTGCTTCCCCAAGTACCCGGTCACACCCGCGACAAGAATAAGCATGATGATAGCGTGGGTGTGAGTGATCTGTACAGTTGCCCTGAAACTTGGTTACTTCAGCTCCTACTATCTGAGAGTTGCGGTTCATACACACGTTGATCTTCCCGAGTTTCAAACTGAAGTTACGAAACGTTTCCAGTTCAGGACCGTCTGACTTGGTTCGAGCGATATTTGGGTGAGAAGAATTGATTGACGTCTGTTAAGAGGTTCTTGAGTGATGTTTGGTAATAGATTGTGGAATGTTCCGTGGACGGAATAAACTCTCCTTTCTCCTCTCATCAAGTCATGAGCCGCAGACCTAGCTACTTGGAGAACTTATTCAATCAACCTTTAGCGCCAAGTGACCCGGGTCAATACGACCCCGATTCGTTGCTGTAGAATGTCGACATTACAAATCACACCACACCGCTACAGCGATCGTGCAACCTTACTCACTTAGTCGGATTTAGGAGCATCCCGCGTCCGCAAACCATCTCATCCTTGGGTCGTTGACATCCGCAACTGTGGAGTTCTCCTCTTGCTTTAGTCGCCTTTTCGGAAGTTAGGAGCACCCCGGGCCCTCAAACCATCTCAACCTTAGGTCCGTTAATCTCCGCTCCCGCTTGTGGAGTTTGGAATGAACATGACAAATCAAACCGACATTATCCCTTTGACTGGGGTCAAGCAACACTTGACCCATTGTCCCGACAGAGCCCCGGGAGATCAGCGGTACGCTGATTGACTTCAAAAAGCTATGTAGCTGCAGGAGGTGTTATGTACTGTGATGTAGATCCCTTAGAGCTGCGACTTCTGGCGATATGTAAAATAGGTGATATCTCATGCACCTCGTATTTCTCTCTTTTTCATTGGTTTAAATCCCTGCTACTAGCGTAAGTGTTGCCTTACCACAGTTAAAGGGATAACGTTAACAAGTCGCAGTATCAAGCCATTCAATTTTAGCGCAAACCTTAATATCCCAAAGAAAGTTTCATCGGAGTTACAACAACAGCAGCTAGATTGATTAATAATGCCTCATTATTGTTCATGCCACTTGTTTATGTTAGACCTTAATATATTTATGACTGCTTGAAGCCTTCGCACTCTGCGTCTAACCCAACTCCTAGTGTTTGAGCAGGGTGTCTCTTCGAATGTAAAATCTACTCTCTGCCTTCGACTTGTCCTGGAAGTTTCTGAGTCCTCGCCTCATCGATCGTCAAATCACAACACACAGGCTCGCCATGGTCAAGATTGCAGTCGCTGGCTTCGGAGGTAATTGAGGCATCTCCGTATTTCGAGTCCTTAATGATAGTTTACTAACGAATACTTCCCAGAGATCGCGGGACAGATCATCAAGGCTGTACTTGCAGATGGCCGTCATGAGGTCACTATTCTTGCTCGGAAAGTAGGCAAATTGGGCCCTATATATCATACCTGGTTTCTAACTAAATCAGGATGCTCCCAAAGACTTGGCAGCGGGCTTAAGCTGGGTTAAGGTGGATTACTTGGACAAGCAGCAGCTAACCCAAGTCTTGCGAGGAATGCACACTGTGCTGTCGTTCATCACCGTCGTGAAGGACCTTGGAAACCGTGCCCAGATCAACCTCATTGACGCATGCGTGGAGGTTGGTGTGAAAAGATTCGCACCGAGCGAGTGGGCATTGTACGTTGTTATGCCTATTGATGGGGCATGGCTGACTCCATGAAGCTATCAGGTGGATGCCTTCGCGATGTATCAAGGCAAGCGCACGATTCGTCAATATTTAAAGGACTTGAATAAGGACAGAAAGGTACGCAGGGCGAACGAGAGATTTATCGGTCGTTGTGTCTCTAACGTGCAAAATTCAGGTTCTAGAGTACTGTTTGTTTCTGCCAGGAGTATTCATGAATTACCTTGGGCCACCTGAGAAAATGAGCAAGGACGTTTCTTATACTCAGATGTTCTTGGACTTCGAGAAATGCCGTGCTATCCTCCCAGAAGGTCCCGATGCAACAGTATCTTTCACAGCCCTTGGAGATATAGCAAAAACTGTTTCAAAGGCTTTGGACTACGAGGGAGAATGGCCTGTCATGGGTGGAATCTCCGGCAACAGGACCAAGATTTCTGAGTTGCTTCGACTTGGAGAGAAGATTCGAGGTATCTTGCGGCCGGTATTGCCCTAGAGTAATATGCTGTATGCTAACGATTGGTTTATAGGAAAGAAGTTTACTGTCGAAACAGTGAAGCTGGAGGACCTCAATGCCAATGACTACGTCACTTCGTGGAACCCAGTAACCCTTCATCCATCAGTCCCCGTGGAACAGCGCGAAATGGTGGGTAGGGAGTTTGCGAGATTATCTCTTATTGGCCTTTCTGATGGGATCTGGGATATATCCAATGAGTGGAACCAGCTATTGCCGGACAACAAGTTTGTTACTCTTGAAGAGTTCCTCCGAGAGTCGTGGGGCAGTGCTACGGCTAATTAAGGCGTTTAACGTTGGTTCAGTTAGTTTGAAATAGATTGTTAGCTTAGAACTTTAAATGTACATCTATATCAACTACTGTAGATATACCACCGGTTGGAATTACAGTTGAAATTACTTTGCTGCGAGCAAGCTACAGGCTTCGCCGCATATGTTAACTATCTATTATACATTTGACCGGATGTTAGTTGAGCAGGAAGGCATTGTGTTATTAAGGCCGTTTCTGATATATAGAGATATATATATATATATATCTCTATATAGTATTTAAACCTTACTGATTTAAGCTACTGGGTTACTAGATGTAAGTATTGGAGCTCTATTGGTTTTTTTTTATACTAATAATTCTACTAGATTACTTTAATCCCCTTTATAAGTGAGTGCTATAAATTCTAACTATAATAGATACTAATATAACATGCGTGATTGAGAATCACATACAAACAATAACCGGGATGAATCTACCCCAAACTAATTAGTCATGGAATTAAATTATTGAGGGACACAAGGGCAAAACAAGACCCAGCTTGTCACAAGGACCGTTATCATCTAAAATTTAAAAAAATTTCACCATCCACTTATCGTGAATGTCCATGATCCGGTCCAGACGTGCATTCGCGTCTTTGATATACGACATTCGTCCTCGCCTCCATTAGCGTCATATTGCCAAGAGCTCGGGGTTGACTTGCATCGTGGAGTAAAGCGCCCGGTGGCCAATCCGAGCGGGAACGCTAGGTGCGCAGTACTTGCGGGGAACGTCCGAGGGATGGAGGTCAATGCCTGTTTGAGATGCAAACCTTGCTAACTGGACCAACCACAATCAATACACGCGTCCAATACGGACTCGACGGGGGCAAGATATCGGGTGACAGATTCGTCGGCGGCGTTCCGAGTCGAAATGCATTGTCGGTGACGCCACTCGGCTCAGTGTTGCAGACAGGTCCATCCATTCCTCTCAATTCAGTCCAGTTTCCCAGCTCTGCTCCAGACACGGCTCCGGCCCGATGGTCTGGGCAGGCTGCGGGCCTCCCCGGTCAACCTAAGACCATCAAATCGGGGCCCACGACTAAACACAGGATAGCACTGCACTGCGGAAATCTCGGGGTTGAGCTTTGTGGAGTGCGTCGGTTGCCAAACGACGCAACCCTGGGCCTCTGGGAATGTCGTTCCGCGCGGGTTGATTCCCGCGCGGAAACGATATCGAGCGGGTCCATTATGCGGCAATCATTGCAGCAGCAACGAGCGAGGCAGCAGATTCAGCCACCGATCCTTTGGGAAGTTGTACGTCGTCATGATACGCGGCCCTGGGTTTAGCGAGGTTTTTCTCTTCCATTGGTAATCAATTGACACAGCGAAATGTACGATCAAATGATGCCAAAATAGGCTGATTGAATTGATGATAATTACGACCTTAATAACGTCGTTATGGTTGATTGATTGACTGTGTTCTTGATCATCTTGACCGGCGAGGGATTTCCCTCATCTACGGTCTCCAAGACCCCGGAGCCCAATAGGTGCGCAGTCCCGTACACACGCGCCTATTCCATTGGTCAGCAGAGATAGAGAAAAAAAGGCTCTTTCAATCTCTTGACCGTATGCGCTTATTGGGCAAACCGCGCAGCTCGTGACATGGGATCCTTGTGCGGTGAAGTATCGGTACCTCTGCTCCCCCACCGTCCCTTTCCATCCCGCTCGTTGCGACCATCTTTTTTCTCCACAGGGGATGCAACGTATCCTCCGCCCAAATTGAAGTCCGCGCGGGCTTGCTGCCAGGCGCGCCAAAGCTCAAGCAGGCTTAAAGTGAAGGCGTCTTGGTTGTCCGCACCGGGCCAACTCTGCGCGCGAGATTGTAAAAGCCGGAGTGGCACCATTGGGGCCGCTGGAGCCCTGAACGTAGCGCTGGGTTTGCCTTGCCAGTCCCTGTAAGCGCTGTGACCGAGGTGGGCCATTATTAGGGGACTGTTGCGGTCGCAAATTGACTTGCTTGACTGTTATTACCCTCGCTACGCCATGGATGAGTGGTAGCAACGCGTGTAAAAGAGTGTATTGCTCAAACTACAAGCAACTCTGCATGTGCACCACACTAAGTAGATCAATCCTATATTAAATCCAGAATGCAAGGTGTTAAACGGCTTTCCATTGTTCAGCCAACGAATCTTTGTAATTACCGGCCTTCCTAATGAATGATTCTGGCGGTCCAATCCTTGTACAAGTAGCTACTCCTTCTCATCTGAATTGTTGGCGTGATCCGATCCTCTCGGGTATGCCTCAGTGCTCTCAAAGTGATATAATTCTGGTTCCACTGTATGCTTCTGGCGAAGCACGTAATTCTTGACCCACCATGGCAAAACCTGAGTTAGCTGGTATTTTGCGTGAATCGTTGTGGGGACAGCGAAAACGTAGTCGAGTTCTTCCAAACTCCTCTTGCTGGTCTCCGGCATGAACAAGAATATTGCAACGAGCGCGACGATGTTCAATCCTGCATAGAATCCGAAGCTTCCCGCAGGTGTGAACAAGAGCAACATGCGCGGGAACGTAAGTCCCAGCACAGCAGCCCAGAAGTTATTCGTCGCCACCGCCCATGACATGCCCATCTCTCGATGCGAAAGGGGGAAGACCTCAGCAGAGTAGACGAATGCACAGGGGCCTTCTCCTGGGGAGTAGAAGGCGACGAATGCAAAAATGAAAAATGCAATCATGCCCAGGTGAGCCTTGGAGGATTCGGGGATGTAGAATGACATGCCTGCACCGAGTAGAGTGAGGAACATGAAAGGGAAAGTGGCAATGAGAAGAGTGCGACGGCCCCAAGTGTCAATCGTGTAGAGAGCCGGGAAAGCAAAGAGGAACATTGTCTGTCCAAATTAGCTGTGATTCCTGCGATGAGTCGAAAGTTCGAGAGAAATTGTAAACATACCATACCAAAACCCCATGACACAAGTAGCGCGGTAATGTTGCTTGCGCCTGCTTGAGAAAATATTGTCGACGAGTAAAAGGCAATGATATTAACTGTATTCGGAGGTTGGATGGTTAGATCTCCGCTCTCTATAGTCCAGTAATACGGCGGGGACGGGATGACTTACTACCGCACATCTGCTGAGCAATCATAATAATTCCAGATGCCTGGGTTGCCCGACGTATGCGGGGAACAGTGAATAGTTCCACAGCTCTTGTGAAGAAGCTAGCCTTCTCAAACCCCTCGGCTTTTATCAAAATCTCCTCGGCAAGTAGCTGTGCATGGATATAATACAAATCTCTAGCGGCCTGAAGTGGTGAGTTGCGTAGCCGGAGAAGCGATCTGTATGCCTTGCCATGTCTCCCTTTCTTAATTAGCCATCTCGGCGACTCTGGGGCAAAATAGGTTCCAAGAAGCAGCGGTACTGCCGGAATAAACGCAGATCCAAACTGAAGCCTCCATGCGATGTCTCCGGTGTTGACCACAACAAGGTTCGCGGTGAATCCTAGCATGATACCGAAAGCAACACACAGCTGCCATGACATGACCAAAGCTCCACGAATGTTGGTAGGTGAGTTTTCAGCCGAGTAGACAGGGACTGTAACCTCCTTGAGGCCTAGTCCGATCCCAAGGAGAATTCTGCTAACCAGGATTTGGGGCCAAGTTTGAGCGAGGGCTTGGCCGATGGGAGCGAACAGGCTAAAGATAGCGCCGATAAAGATGGTACCACGGCGGCCGAGGAGATTGTTTAAAGGGTCCGAGAGCCAACAAGCACTGGCAATGTTAATATGGACTGACACGAAACCATTTGGAAAGCCATCATGACTTACAAGAGGGCAATTGCCATGTATGGCGCGCTGTTGATGGCTCCGATAATCCAAGAATTCCTTTCACAAGTCCCAGCCGCTGTACAACGATCTCCCCTCTCTTCGATACCGAAGGCTTGTGGAAACGATAGGTTGGCTCCGTTTGAGCCCGTCTGGTCCCATCCTTGAATGATGGCGCTGAAGGAATTCAAGAGGATGGTGTAGTAGAGCATTTTCGGGTGCTTCCATTTGTGTGTTTTCTCCACTCGCAACGCTTCGCGGTCTTCTTCGTCTAGCTCTTCGAGGCATTCGAAGTCGTCGGGGCGTTGTGCAACAAGAGCGCCTTTGCGAAGGTACGGCAAAGCATCAGTCAATTGATGCTTTTGCGCGTAATCCTCGACATCTCGAAGAAGGTCCGCTTTCGGTATACCGGTGAGAGCATTTTTGATCCTTGCACTGTCAGAACTGGAGGTACGTATGAGCTTGGCTCCGGCACTTACTCGCCAGTGTTGTTCTGCGTCATGCTGGCAATGCTTTGTTTCCGGGCGTTGTTGACAGGGTCGTTGGCTCTTTTGCAAAAACATTAGGCTCTGGTCGTGAAGAGTAAAACGGGGCAAAGTTATACCTAGTTGCTTGCTCAATATGATAAGACATGGTCATCTTGGTTGTGAATTGTGTGAGACACTGATCAGTGATGAGTATCGAATTGGGCAAGCCGTCCCTATACTTATATGCATACGTTCCCCAGCTCTCCACGAATGCGGAGAACATGGGGTAGTGCGGAGCCCCCGCATGATGCCACTAATACTCCAGTGCCAGGCGGTTCGTCCGAGCTGGACTGCTTTGAGTCTCCAGTGTGCGGTCTACCTCGAGGCGCGGTTCGGGGCATCTCCGAGCTAAATTGCCCCAAGCCTCCAGTGTGTGAACACTTAGCCTTTCTTGGTGCTTCCTCGGTGGTTCATCCGAGGCCCCATTCTGGCGACGCTTCCTACGCAGTGGGCAGCCGAGCCAATCGGCGCTGTGCCCGAGTTTAGCTGGGCGGACGAACGACCGAGGAAACTCTGCCAACGGAATACCAATGGGCCTCAGGGTATACTCGCTCTAGTGGGGATGCATCAGGTCCATAGAGTAGAGGTATTAGAGAACCCTGGACCCAGTAACTGGAGGACTTGGAAAATCGAGCTTCAACAATTGAATTGCAACAATGGAGTCCGTCACCGACGTCTTACAGCGAAAGTCGCAGAACATTGCTGTTCAAACCAACCCAGCACACGACCTGCATGTCGTCGATGTAGACGTTCCGGAGCCAGGCCCCACAGACTGCCTAGTCCATGTCCGCGCAACTGGCATTTGTGGCTCAGATGTGCACTTTTGGAAGCACGGCCATATCGGCGACATGGTGGTTTGCGGCGAGAACGGACTTGGTCATGAAAGCGCGGGCGTGGTAATCAAAACAGGCAAAGAGGTAACGAGGTTCAAACCAGGTACGTGATTTCGCGTTTGATGCGCATGAGTGAATTATTTGATGCTGATACGCTTAAAGGTGACAGAGTCGCCCTCGAGTGCGGCATTCCTTGTTCCAAGCCAACTTGTTACCACTGCCGAACCGGCAAATATAACGCTTGTCCCGATGTCGTCTTCTTCTCGACTCCTCCTTATCACGGCACCCTGCGTCGCTATCATGTGCACCCTGAGGCTTGGTTGCATCATTTGCCCAGCAGCCTAAGCTATGAGGAAGGGTCGTTGCTCGAGCCTCTTTCGGTGGCGCTCGCCGGTATCGACAGGTCTAATCTTCGTCTAGGGGACCCGCTAGTCATTTGCGGTGCTGGACCTATCGGTTTGGTGTCTCTTCTTGCGGCTCATGCAGCTGGCGCCGCACCAATTGTCATCACTGACCTGGACGAGAACCGCCTGGCCAAGGCCAAGGAACTTGTTCCCCGGGTTCGCACTGTACGTGCCGAGCGTGGCGATGATCCTAAGACTCTGGGGAAGAAGATGGTGGATGCCCTCGGGGCTGAGGCACGACTGGTATTAGAGTGCACTGGAGTAGAGTCCAGCATCCATGCCGGAATCTATGTAAGTGTCAATGATGACTACTATTGTTGTTCTGCTCTTTGCTTACACAAGTATATAGGCTTCGGCGTTTGGGGCCTCAGTCTTTGTTATTGGTGTTGGAAAGGATTTTCAGAACATTCCTTTCATGCACCTCTCGTCCAGAGAGATTGATCTTCGCTTTCAATATCGATATCATGACACATATCCCAAGGCAATCAGTATTGTAACTGAAGGACTGATTGACCTGAAGCCTCTTGTTACACATCGGTTCAAGCTGGAGGAGGGTTTAGAGGCATTTGCAGCAGCGTCGAACCCGGCGTCCAAGGCTATCAAAGTTCAAATCCTTGATGATTGAAAGACTTAGTCGCATGGAAGAGAAACCGCTAGCGATGTTTTACACGGGTTTGAGAAGTAAATTGGCAATTCCAAAAACTGCAACACCATCATCAAACGTTTGCCATTCCCATGTCATCCTATTGTGCTACTATAATGAAGTGTAAATTTTCCTTGGAGGGTTTTCGAGCATGGCCTCAATTGAACTAATAAGCCTTCGCTTTGCGCTCCGTTTAGAGACTTTGACGAAGTATTGTGGCCATTTGATACTGGCAGGGTTATATGGTGTGGTGCGCTCATATGCTAGTCAGTAAAGTACAAAATGCGATAAGGAATTAGCTGGGGACAGATTTTCAAGCTCTGTATGCTCGAGATATCCCTTGGTTCTGTCTTCACTCCTTCCTTGGGTAAGCACGGTGAAGGTTTATCTATTCACACTGAAAATTATGTATTGGCATATCTTGAGTATAATTTTGCCTTCCCATCTTGATCCTCCCTCCTCAAGAAGCTGCAGCACATGCTTAAAACAGCCAGGCAGAAAATAATTCATCACAAGGATGAAAACTCTTCAAGTGAGTGGATGTGATAAAATGCTTGCAGATGTTTCCACCTGTCCGTCTGCAACGGTCAGACATTCGGCAGGCACTTGGTAACTGTAGCATCGCCGAATAACATACCGTATCAACTCGGTTAACTCTCCCAAGTAGCGCCTCCACTTTATCTCCATATTTCCACTGTTAACCGCAAAAAATGTGCAGAAGTGTCCAATGGGGGCCGCTACTTGGCGAGATAACTGAGTTTCTACGGTAGTCCCATTCGGACCACTCGCCGACAGCTTTGCCACGCCGACATGACTCGAGTGGTGGATTGATCGCGGTTGGTCAGCGGACTAGCTTGGAGGGGCCGAGTTAGTGCACTGAAATTCGGGCTCGGGGGTAGCCCCGAGCTCTTCACCGCGATCCCTTGGCGTGGTGGCTTTGCTTGTCATGGATGAGAACCCATGTGGTATATCTAAGACGCAAACGCACACTTGAACTAGACCGTTCAATACGGCAAGGATTCAAGGAGCAAGAAATATGTCACTAGTAGGCAAGGTCGCCATAGTCACGGGCGGAGCTCGCGGGATTGGCAAAGGCATCGTCCTCACCTTGGCGAAGCAAGGTGCCAAAGTCTGTATCAATCACCAACTCAAGTTGTCACGACACATGCACTAATAAGCCCGCCGTATAGGTTTCTTTCACCTATGTTTCCACGTCCTCCACACCTCATGCCGAAGCTCTTGTGCGCGAAGTCGAATCGCTCGGTTCCTCTGCCCACGCGATCCAATCTGACGCTACGTCTCTCTCCTCACCAAAAGCCGTCATTTCTTCGACTCTCGCCGCCTTCAATGTCTCGCAGATTGACATCCTTGTCAATAATGCCGGCCTTGGATCCGCCGCCACCCTCCTTGGAGATGTCACAATCGACGAATACGAGAAAGTAATGGGGGTCAATGTTCGCGCAGTCATCTTCATGACGCAAGCCTTTCTCCCTTACGCTAAGCCCGGTGGACGCATTATAAATCTGTCATCCATTTCCGCGAGGGGCGGTTATGCGACGCAATCAGTCTACTCTGCATCCAAGGCGGCTGTCGAAGCCTTAACCCGCGTGTGGGCGACAGAACTAGGCCATAAGTACAAAATTACCGTGAATGCGGTTAACCCCGGACCGGTGGATACAGACATGTACAGAGCAGCAGGGGAAGTGCATTTAGCCCGCATGGAGGAACAGAACAAAAAGACACCTGCTGCTCCAAGAGCGGGTACGGAGAACGACGTTGCAGAGATCGTAGGCTTCCTTTGCGAGGAACGATCGAGATGGGTGTCTGGGGACATTGTCTGCGCCAATGGTGGCATGCTGTATATGTGAGCTTGTTCTTGTCTCGAGCCCTCGCGCAATGTGTCCGAAACGAAATAGCTGCAAAGGAAATATTATGAGCAAACGATATCGGCTGCCACACAAACACAACCCCTCATGTTTTACGCAGGCATCCAAGATCCGCACTCGAAATACGGTCCTCTAGAATCCGAACTGCCCTGTAGCATGATCCCTCCCGTTGCATCGAGTAGCTCGGCATCTGACGAGGCTTGGGCGTACCACGGAAACGACATGCCCCCTTGTCCAAAGAAAATCGTGTCCGTCTGGTCTTGAGCAGCTGTATTCTGAGAAGACTGGCCATGAGCAGTGGGGTCCCAGGTATTCAGTGGGACGCTCTGCAAATTCTCGGCCGTCGAAGCCATGGGTGCCCCCAAAAAGTTTAGAAGTTCGCTTTGATCTGTGTCTGTTAGTAGGGGGGTTCGTGTCCGTGAATAGATGGAACATACCAAGCAGCCTCTTGAGGGTGTCTCGAGCCCGCAAGGCCATGCCGTGCGTGGCCCCCAAGTTTGACAGGCAATCCACAGCACGTTTCAGATGACGTTTCCATGCTGGCGCAAGAGTGTGCGCAGGATCATACACGTAGCAAGTTGCCTGCACGAAGCTAGCCGTGACTAACCAGTATGTGGCATACCAAGCCAAACCTCGTGGGTGTTCGGTTTCACAGCCAAGGTAGCCGCATATCGAATCGACGCACTCCTCAGCCCCCATGAGACACGCGAGTATCGGTCCGGTGGCTGTATCAAGACTCTCTTTCGCCGTAATGGTTTTGAACAAGATGGGCCGGTTGAGAATGATGCGGAGGTGGAAAGATCGCCATATGAGGATACGCTTTGGGATTTCAAACCATGGGTCCAGTCTCGTATGTTCGTCGAAATAGGAGGGGAGATCCTTGCGCCACTTCGCGATGCTGCGGTCCAGGGTAATCGCTTTGTCGTGACTCGGTATTTGGTGGGTAAGAAGCTCGACCTGGACCATGTTCGCGATTTTGGCCAGCTTGACCTGATGGATGAGACACGAGGTCATGGTGGGGCCTTCTTTTGGATCTGGCAATTTTCCCATATCCACAGCGAGGTCCTGATCGTCCAGATTGGATGGAGGTCTAACATTTACTCCAACGAGGGAGACAGGTGGTCTTCCAAGAGTTAGTTGTGCCCCGGAGACGAAAATAAACAAGGTCCACCATGCTCTTCGACGGATCTCCATGGTAAACGGGCTCGAGCTTGGCAAGCCAAATTCGCGATGTAGGCCAATTGCAAGTGCCATACTGAAGCCAATTCCAATAAGCACAAACCCAGAATTGGGCTTGTTGCGCTTTTGTAGGTAATTGGCCATGAGCACGAGACCTTGAACATAACTCAGGGACCCTTTTTCCAAGATATCCATGGTCAAGTTTTGGCGGGCTGTCTTGTAAAACGGAACGTCATTATTCGATGCATCAGTTCCGCCAACAAAGGCGCCAATGGCTACGACGATATTATACAAGAGCGGCCATGAACCATCTCGTGGTTTGGCCAGTGCACCTAAGACCCTGTCAATCATCAGTCCTTGCGAGCGCCACATGGTGTTTTACCTGAAACGCGGGCGCGAAAGGTCCCCTCGTGAAGAACGGGGTAAGCTGTATGATAAATAGCAAAATAATCGGTTATGTAGAGCGCAATGTCGGCGGACGATGCCTCTGGTATGCTGCGTGAATCCGGCTCGTCGAGTGGAAAAGGCATTCTACCATCGACGGGAATATAGAGATGCAGAGTTTGTAGGAACTTCAAAGCTGCAACACCAGATTGAGGGCCTGTATAGCCGACCTTGCCAGGTTCCATAATAAGAGAGCCCATGCCGTCAGTGGAATTGTCAAAATCCTGCGATTCATCAAACTCGTAGTCTTCCGCGTTGCTGAATTCAGCCGGACTGGAGTCGGTAGGCTGCTCATTTCCCACCGGCCTGTATGATAATTCTGGTGCCTCTGGAAGTGCGACAGGACTCTCATGGCTAGGTAGGCCCTCGCGTCCTAGTTCGAGGCGCCGAATGGCATCTTGGAGCTTGACTTCGGGCAAGTGAACAGCCCATGCTCTTTCCATAGATGATATAAACTGCTCGGCTTGGGTTAAGCGCCTAAACTGGGCGCGTCAGCATAAAGGCACCTTGAGATGATCAAGCTGGCGCGATAAGACTTGCCTTTGAAGTGCTGTAATGGTCTGTAGAGCCGAGCTATACCTGCAATCTTTGCTATCCCGAATGCAGTTGGAGCATTTTGCGCCTCCAGAGCAACGCACTTTGCGGCGTTTGCATTCATTGCAAGCATGAGACTTACGCCATGCAAGTGATGCTCTTGGCGAACCCCCCTGCAAGCTACTCATTGCAGTCGGGTTGATGGTCGCTAATTGCGCAAAATAGGCGACAGCGCTCTGGTCGCAGTCAGGAGTGTGAACTCTGTGGAGAACAACGCGGAGTTCTAAATGGCGGCACACAAGTGTCACGCGGCTGACGGATTCTCGCCACGCAAGGGTTGAGGAGCTATGCCTGTGTTAACTCTTGGGCATGTATGAGCTGCCTGAAATTGGACAAAAGGGAGGCGGAGCCAGCGAGCGTGACCAAGAAACCACCCGGGGGGGGGGATCACGTGCAGCACCACAAGCCCCTCCGTGTTACAGGGTGGTATGTGCATGGCCTTTTTTACAGCGCTCGTCGAATCCCTGTAGCGCTGGTGGCCCGGAATTTTAGCGGGCTGCAGGCGACACACACACGAGGTACGTTGGAGTGGATCCCCTATAGTGGGTCTGCGCGGACCAATCATTCCAAGCACCTTGTAATATACCCTCTATTTAAGCGCTGCGTTTAATATAGTGTTGGATTGTGACCCTGTATAACGAAACCTCTGATAGATTGATATTGAGTGAGGGAGTGAGCAGAGGACACTAAGAACACACACAACCCACCCAGAGGAAGGGCTGTGATGACTGCGATAGTGTTGTGTCGGAAAGGTCGGATAGGGTCAGGTCTGGGGTCCGGATAAATCGGACGGTCGGGCAAAATAGGTAGCTTTTTCAGCTGATACCGTTTGATCAAATGGATCTTCAATAGGTCACCAAAGGATAGGTCAAAAGACTGTCAATTGAAAAAGATGAGATGCTAGGAGGATGATGCTTGTGTGTCAAAGGTCCTGTCCGAGACTTTCCCAATTTATGGCCCCAGTAGGTCTGGCTACTGGTCCTACCCGATACGGCATTTCCTGTTGAAGGAACCCACCAATCCTAGCCCTAGCGGCTGCAAGCATCTGATCAGATGACCTTAATCCCCAAAGACCGGAAAGCCCCGACTCAACATCCTGACCTTAGTCAGAAGGGGGGTCTGATAGCCCCTCTTCCGGCCGATCCGGATAACCGGCAGAAGCAACAATAAACAACATCATCACTGCATTAATCCCTATCCATTTGATCGAATTGTCCGTAACAGATCCATTAATTAAGAGTCTCAACTGCTTGAAGAAGCTAGCTGCGCTGGGATCCGTACAGCTTTTATCCTCTATTTTAAATCAATTCTACCTAAATCCACGAAAATCGCAATATCAGCTAAAAATACTATATCTGACCACAAGATCTATCTGGAGACCTTCAAGGACTGGAGGATCTGGGATAAGTCCTTCCAGCTGAGGGCAAATGCAGCCGGCCTCTGGCATCTTATTAATCCGAAAGGAAATCAACAGCCAATACAGGCCCCAGTAAAGCCGCTGATTTCTTCCTATTTCCAAAGAATCCCTCCATAGCAGATCTGTAACGGTCGTGTCTTCTAGTCTGCCGTAGACGTGGTCTAGGGTAGGCAGGAGACTGGTTGCTGGTGGATAAACCGTAGGTTTATGTTAGCAGAGCGATTAGGGCGTCACTTACAGAGTAAATGTTACGTCTGGTAATAGTCAAGCACAGTGATGCGTAGCGAGTCAAGGTGATTGAGGTAACCAAGTTGTATTGATAGCTGAGTAGCTGCTCATAGTGAATGTGCACTACTCGGTCGTCTATATACTTAATGTGATCGGACATGATCACCTACGCGGTGATCATGATCACGGAGTGATCAGAGGTGATCACGGAGCGATCACCGTGACCGTGATCGCGGGTGATCGGGGGTGATCACGGGGTGATCACTGATGGCTAAACTATGTTCCGTTCCGGGAGGCTGAGAAAAGTGGGGCTGCGCCCGGGGCCTGATGCAGGTCGCGGCCAGGCCGTGACAAGATCGAGCCTGACTTTCCTTAACAGACCCGTCACTCTAACAGTCAGGTATTACAGCCCAGGTTAAGACCAGGTAGTCATAACCAGCAGAACCATAACTATACCCACTTTTTCATATTACCCTATATCAGCATAATTAGGACTCTACCTTATATAATTACTAGTAATCTAGAACGGATTACTACTGATCTAAACTAGATTACTACTAATTACAGCACCTACACCTCTAATTAACTTACAGACTAGATATATATAGATAGGATCTTAGGTTTCTTAGATAAGAATCTTAAGCTTCTTAGCTATTAATATACTTAGTTATATTAAATCTACTATTCTACTATTGCTAGACTGTAATCTATATTGCTTATTATAATATCCTGATCTACTAGATTATATACCTTACACTCAAACCTACCCTATACCCCTAGGTTAGACCCGACTGTTATAATATAGGCATAACTTTTATAATATCTAATTCGCTAGATTTCTATTGAATTATAGATACATCCCCGTAAAGGCAGTAAAACCAGCTTTGCTAATAAGTTCTCCTTTTCAGTGTAGAAGTAATTAGGTCAGGCTAACCCCCTTAAACAGGTCTTGTACAGGCGTCAGAATAAGGTCTGGTTTTCCATACAGCTCCTTCAGCTCTAACTCTTACTGTGACGGTCGGGTCTAACCTAAGGGTATAGGGTAGGTCCGAGGCGTGTGGTATATGATCGAGTGGATCAGGACGTCGTAGTAAGCAATATAGGTCACAGTCTGGTAATAGTAGAATAGTAGATTCAATATAACCAAGTATATTAATAGCTAGTGAGGCTATCTGTCTATAGAAGTGCTAAAAGAGTATTTATATACTAGTAGTGCTTATACGGGCTCACTGTGTGGGAGTGAGTCTGATCTTGTGGCTCATCCTGGGGAAGTAAGTCGGGCGTCCCGGCTCACTTATACGGGGTGAGTTCGGGATTTGTATCAGGTGAAAAAGTGGGTACGTCATGGTTCTGCCGGTTGTGACCGCCTGGTCTCAACCTGGGCCGTGACACTTACACTCTAATGATTAGCTGACAGAAAATCAACTTTACCTCTTATCGTTTAAATTAACTCTACCCCTTGCAAAGTGGGGCCTGAAAAATCAACTCTACTACGTACAGTTAATATTGTTATTGTAGAGTAGGGTTCGGGGTTGACTAAAATTGTGGAGTATCGCGCTCGGAGGGCCATCCGAGCGGGAACTCTAGGTGCGGAGTATTTGCGGGGGTACCTCCGGGGGTTGGAGCTCAACCCTTGTCTGCAAGCCAACACCTGCTAATTAGCGTGGACCAACTATAATTAATACATGCGTCCAATACGGGCTAGAGGGGAAACTCGGGCACGATACCATTGGTGTAGCTGCTGAAAGTGCCCTCAGAATTGCAGCTTGGAGGAAGTCACTATACTTTTCCTCACTGCACTAGATCTAGGAAAAGCCCAGAGTGTTCGAGCCCCTGCAACAGAGATTTTAGCTAGCTCAACCATCCGTCCCGAGACAACCGAGGCGATTCCAAAGATGTTTTGGCCAAGGGCGGCGAGTTCGTCGCTGCGCCCGTCTTCGGCCCCCCCGGCCATGGCCGACTCGGGACAACTCACCAGTATGCCGCCAGCCGCAAGCGTTGCAACCTCTTAGTTGGGTGGGTACTCCTCCCACCCAGCGAGAATTACAAATCACGCGGTCCGGCTCTCGAAATAAATATCCCTGGCTGGGGCTTTCTACAACCGGCCATGCTTCCTGGAATATCTCGTGCACATCCTTTGATCACTAGTCATGGCCCTACCTACGTCCTACACCGCCTTTAGGCGCACTGCTGGCGACGTTCCGAGAACCATCGAACCAACTTCGGAGTCTCTGCCGCAAGACCTTCGCTCGAATGACGTGCTTATCAAAATCCATGCCGTCTCGCTCAACTACCGAGATCTTGCAATGCTGATCGGAACTTACCCAGTGGAAGTCGAAGAACGGGGTGTCCCTTGCTCAGACTGCGCCGCCGAGGTCGTTGCCATTGGGTCGGCCGTTGAAGACTTCCACATCGGAGACCGGGTTTCGCCTATATTTGACGTTTCGAATATTACTGGAACCGAGAGCGCTCCCTCGAAGGCTCTTGGCGGTGATATGCCAGGCGTATTGCGAGAATATGCAGTGTTTGAAGACCGGCTTTTGGTCCATCTGCCTCAGTATTTGACATGGGAAGAGGTCTGTACTGACTCTCCAAAGTGTACTCATTGAACTAGCCCTGACCAATCACCTCGCAGGCATCCACGCTCACCTGTGCTGGAGTCACAGCTTGGGTGGCCCTCAACTCTCCTTCTGCAGTATCCGGTCCCACCAGCGCCGTCTTGCAAGGTAAAGTCTCGCCGGAGCTGCGTTTGTCGAATTCATGGATAGCCTAGTTCTAACGAAAGATTTTAGGCACGGGAGGCGTCAGTATGTTCGCCCTCCTTATCTGCCTCGCTGCGGGTATCAAGCCCATCATTACATCCTCGTCCGATGCGAAGCTCGAATCAATCAAGAAGTTGAGCCCGGAAGTCCATGGCATCAACTATAAAACCACGCAAGACCAAGCGCCCGAAGTCTTTCTTGCAACAGACGGCGAAGGCGTCGATGTCATTGTCAACAATACCGGGGTAGCGTCCATTCCTGATGACCTGAAACTGTTGCGTACAAGGGGGGGCACCGTCTCCCTTGTCGGCTTTTTAGATGGATTCAAAGCTGACTGGAACCCGAATGCCATGGCGGCTATAATGGGCAAGGCCGCTAAAGTGAAGTCAGTTCCATTCCATCTACCCTCCCTTCATTATTCGAAAGGTCAGCACTGATATCACTCCCAGGGGTATTGCGGTTGGTTCGAAAGTGGATTATCAGCATCTGAACGCATTTCTTGAGCAGAAAAATGTCTCCATCGCCCCGATCATTGACCGCGTTTTCCCCTTTCAAGAGTCGAGGGCCGCTTTGGATTACCTGCTCTCAGCAAAACATGTTGGGAAGGTGATCATTAAGATGTAGCTCAAAGGATGCCCAGATGTTTGCTATTGAACCTCTACACTGAGGCGGTCTAAGCGATTGTCTAGTTAGTGCGTCTACAGTAGAGGGAAATGGAGGGACCGCGGACGGGAATATACGGAGGTAAAGCAGGACCGTCCCCCCGTCCTCCACTCTCTTTGCTTCCCCAGCGTGAGTTTCCTAGCATCAGCAGGAGCTATAAGATAAAGAATTTCAACTTGTTTTTATCATTCTCATATGCTTCATGAACATAAAAGTGGTGCGCGATATTAGCGGTTCGTGTACAGCAGTCTCCTGGACGTGACGAGACTGTCGGGTGGCAAGAATACGCACGTCTGGCATTTTGACAGCAAGGCCGCAGTCGAAACCTTTGTCCGCCACGACCAGACCATGGTTGCTGCTGGGCTGAGCAAAAAGGCCAATTTCATCCATGTTGGCCTGTACCTCGACAACTGGCGCCGAGCACCGACGGAGCTGGAGAAGGACCCCGAGTGGAATGGATATGTTTGTGTTGGAAACGGGACGGCTGTAGGAATATGCCCTTCGTCTGGTTTGTAGTTTATATTAATAGTCGATTTCGGTGCATACAAGTTCAGGCTTGGTCCCCCGTAATAGAAGGCTCTATAAGGCAGCTGGTGTACCTAGTAGATTGCCACAGTCGCTATTAATGCAATCTTTTGCTCTATGATGTAATGGTATAGGTGCCCGTAATGAGCAATCTATATACCAACTCCAAGATCGGCCAAAACGGGTGTTAAAATCTACTAAAGACATGGAATATTCACAGAAACGGTTAAGGCTTTAGGGTCTATGATTAGCTGCATGACAGAACACCACGGTATTAACCATGCTGCGCGGGGCATTTTTCCTCTTTTTACTAATCTTTGGATAATACGCAAGCTTCAGTTTTAACAACCCACTAATAATTGAACTGTTCATCTTGATTTTGCCTGGCACTCTTATTCTATATGTAACACGTACTAAGAAGAGTCTTTTCTTTTCTTCTTCCTAGCTTAAATAAACATTTTTACCTATCTATGTAACCTACCTTGTTACTTGATCAGCTAACTTAACCGAGAGTTTGTAAATGGAGGAACTAAAAAGTCTTTAAAGGCGCAAAGAGGTAGGTTTTGTAAGCTACTAGCTTGCAAAGAAGAATAAAATACAGAAAACAACTCTTTCCGATTCGTCTTCTAGATTCTAAGAGAATCCGAGATCATGTTGGAGTTGGGATCTATAATGCGGATACAACAGGTTATCCCTGGAAAGAGCTGCTCGAGTGAAATTCGCCATATTGAAAATTGGTTGTGATGGGATGAGTGTCAGAAGGGAAGTTGGTCTCTTGACGATGGGAGACGTCTCCCTTATATCCTATAGCTCGGAATAAGGTTACTATCTCAAGGTCGTTGACTGCAGACAGCAGGGTTGAAGTCAGAGGGGTTGAATGGAAGCTTCAGGCAGAGACCGGTGGGCAACAACCTTATTGTTCAGCTACTGTTTCTTC